TAGCTTCTTTAGAAAGAGTTGGCAGAAGATTGTTCCATTTTTGAGACCTTATATGTCAAATGGTTTTTTTATCAAAATGGATTGATTTTTTTTTTTTATTTATTTAATTTTTTTTTTTATTTTGGAAGCCATTTTTTTTTTTTTTTTCCTGAGAATATCAAAGGCATTACTTTCATTGTCTTGTAGTTTCCAGTGTTATTGATGTTTTTACTGTTTGGAAACCTACATACAGCATAGCTAAATCCAAGATGTTCATTCTAGAAAATATACATAGGTAAAGTTTTTGCTCTTTTTCTTCCCCTCAGAAGCCTAGGCTGGTTGTGGAAAATTTCTGCTGCATAAAATTTCATACTGGTTTCCGAAATTACTAGCCTCTAAGCATGATAGCCACGTATATCTTGTTTTTTCTTTTTCTTTTTCTCTTTTTCTTAAAAAACAGGGTCTTGCTCTGTTGCCTAGGCTGGAGTACAGTGGCACAGTTGTGGCTCACTGCAGTCTCAATTTCTTGGGCTCAAGTGATCCTCCTGCCTCAGCCTCCCAAGTAGCTGGGACTGCAGGCGTTTATCACTGTGCCCTACTAATGTTTAATTTTTTGTAGAGATGGGGTCTCACAGTGTTGCCCAGATTGGACTTGAACTCTCAGCTTCAAGTGATCCTCCCACCTTGGCCTCCCAAAGTGCCGGAATTACAGGTGTGAGCCACTGCACCTGACCCATCTATATAGTTTACCTCAGGCAGCAACCAGAGTCAGAAAGTTCCTGGCCTTACAAAGTTATTTTTCAGTTCTGGTTTCTCTTGAATTTGTTGCCTAAAGTAAGTTTTTAATAAATTAGTGAGAAAAGGGTTGTCTGAGAGTAGGTTTTGACCTCTGTGATCTTTAAGTTATCCACAAACTTTTGTCTGAAAAGTAAACCTATGATAGCAGTAACTTTGAGACCAACCATGACTTTTGCTTCTTTTTTTTTTTGAGACAGAGTCTTGCTGTGTCACCTAGGCTGGAGGATAGTCACGCCATCTTGTGCCTTAGCCTCCTGAGTAGCTGGGATTACTGGCGGACACCACCATGCCTGGCTAATTTTTGTATTTATAGTAGATACACAGGGTTTTACCATGTTGGCCAGGCTGGTCTCAAACTCCTGGCCTCAAGTGATCCACCTGCCTTGGCCTGCTTCCATTTTATATAAGATTAGGAAATGACATTTTGTTTACAATGTTGTGAATATTCTCATTCTAAAGAAAGTTGAGCTTTTGGCCCCTAAATGCATACGCAGAGTTGTTTCCTAGCTTTTTGCAAATATAGGATGGGGTTTGGAGAGAAGAGTTAGATTGTGTTTTAGGACTAATTTTGCCACTTAAACAATTTAATAGCTCCAGTAATATTAAATCTGAATTAAATGTATGTCCACTGCTCAAATTTTATTTCCTACGAAGTGTTACTCTGTTTATTCCTGCATTGTGAATTCTGACATCACTGAAGTACTGTGAAAAACACGTTTGTTTTTCTTGGATGGTTTCTGTATGACTTCAGAGCTTTCTGTAGGTGTAGGGTAAAGTTGTAAAGTCTTGCCAACATGCACTGGCTTGAATTTATCTGCAGTGAATGCCATCTTCTTTACTGTTGCTCAATTACTTTAGTTTGCTGGAGCGCCTCACAGTTCAAGCTTAGTCTCTGTGACACACTTTGGCTCACTTGGCATCTGAATGTTGTCAGTCTGAATGGAGTATTTTCTGAGAGATTTGCCTTTTACACCTTTTCCAAAGCAGAGATTTTGCTATTAAAAAAACCCCCCAAAAACCAAAAGTCTGTATTAGCCACTGGTTTCTGAAAAGGCATTTGTTTATTGAACCAATAACAAGTAAACGCCTACTGTGTTAAAATTTGCGCCTAAATTACAGGAATATAACCATAGTTTAGACACAATTCCTGCCCTTATACGAGGCCTACATTCTAATGTATACAGAAGAGTTGCAGAATTGTTTTAAATAAAATGCTGTTAAAATGCTATGAAGTAGAAGTGCAGTGTTTAGTGAGAATGACAGGGGACCTAATCTGGGGAAAAGGCAGGCTCAAATTGAGGCTTAAAGGAAGAGTAAGAGTTTGACAGTTGGTAGCCTCTTTTCCATGGTGCCTCGAAGACGTATATATAGCTGCTTCAAGGTGAAGCTGAACATCTCCTTCCCAGCCACTGGCTGCCAGAAACTCATTGAAGTGGACGATGAATGCAAACTTCATACTTTTTATGAGAAGCGTATGGCAACAGAAGTTGCTGCTGATGCACTGGGTGAAGAATGGAAGGGTTATGTGGTCTGAATCAGTGGTGGGAACGACAAACAAGGTTTCCCCATGCAGCAGGGTGTCTAAACCCATGGCCGTGTCCACCTGCTACTGAGTAAGGGGCAATCCTGTTACAGACCAAGGAGAACTAGAGAAAGAAAGAGAAAATCAGTTCATGGTTGCATTGTGGATGCTAATCTGAGCGTTCTCAACTTGGTTATTGTAAAAAAAAAAAAAAGAGAAGGATATTCCTGGACTAACCGATACCACCATGCCTCATTGCCTGGGACCCAAAAGAGCTAGCAGAATCTGCGAACTTTTCAGTGTTTCTAAAGATGATGATGTCTGCCAGTATGTTGTAAGAAAGCCCCTAAACAAAGAAGGTAAGAAACCTAGGACCAAAGCACCCAAGATTCAGGGTCTTGTTACTCCACATGTCCTGCAGCACAAACGGCGGCTTATTGCTCTGAAGAAGCAGCATACTAAGAACGATAAGGAAGAGGCTGCAGAATATGCTAAACTTTTGGCCAAGAGAATGAAGGAAGCTAAAGAGAAGCACCAGGAACAAATTGTGAAGAGATGCAGACTTTCGTGTCTGCGAGCTTCTGCTTCTGAGTCTGAATCCAGTCAGAAATAAGATTTTTTGAGTA